GTGCCTCACGCATGCTAGGTGAGCTCTCTACCTCCGAGCCACAACCCCAACCCCATCAATGGACATTTTTTTTTTTTTTTTTTTTTTGGATGAGGTGCTGAGAATCAAACCTTGCATGCTAGGCAAGCAAGCACTCTACCACTGAGCCACAACCCTAGCCCTCTAACCCTTTTTGTATTTTATTTTGAAACAGGTTCTCACTAAATTTCTTAGGGCCTCGCTAAATTGCTAAGGCTGGCTTGGAACTCACAATCCTCCTGCCTCAGCCTCCTGAGTCATGGGATTATAGGCATAAGCCCCCATGCTCAGCTTCATGATTTTTATAACAGTTAACAAAAACCAACAAGCTCCACACAGATCCACTTTGTCCTTGGTATTTCAAGTGCCAGAGCAATTACATGATCCAGGGCTTCTCTTTCCACCTGTTTCCCATCCCATTCACCATGGGTGAGTTTTTGTCACCGTGATGCCAAAGCACACAGGACCTCACCATCCAGGGGACCCAAGTCCAAAATTCCTTCCTGAGGACTCATTGTCCCAGCCACTTCGGGAACCAGCTGTCTTACTTTGGGTTCTCACAATGCAAACTGTGAGGCAAGGATTTAATTACATCGGACTTATTTGGGAAGCAGTTACAGAAAACTGTGAGGAAATAGGGAGGGGACCCTGGGAAGGTTAGCTAAACAAGGGTGTGTGTTCATGAGCAGAGCTCAGTCTCACTGGGGACCCTTGGAGAAAATATATGCAACAAACTTCAGAACTGCCCTGGACAGCACAGCAGGCTGTGTTCCTTCTGGATGTTCTAGGGAAGAATCTGCTCTCAGCCTTTTCTGGCTGCTAGAGGCTGCCTTTATTCCTTGTGTTATGGACTGAGCTGGGTTTCCTCAACCCCCAGTGTTGAAGCCCTGATCCCCAATGGGACTGTAGTGAAGATGGGGCCTATAAGAAGGTAATAAGCAGCCTGGCAGGGTGGAGCATGCCTGTAATCCCAGCAGCTCAGGAGGCTGAGGCAGGAGGATCACCAGTTCAAAGCCAGCCTCAGCAAAAGCGAAGCGCTAAGCGACTCAGTGAGACCCTATCTCTAAATAAAATACAATATAGGGCTGGGGGTGTGGTGCAATGGTTAAGTGCCCCTGAGTTAAATCCCCAGTACCTAAAGAAAGAAAGAAAGAAGAAATTTCTTTAGCAATTTAGAAAATTTATTTAGAAAATTTATTTAGAGATGTAAGACCCTATCTCTAAATAAAATACAATATAGGGCTGGGGGTGTGGCGCAATGGTTAAGTGCCCCTGAGTTCAATCCCCAGTACCTAAAGAAAGAAAGAAAGAAAAGAAATTTCTGTTGTTGACACCATCCAATGACATTTGGTGATGGCAGCCCTAGAAAACCCACCACCTTGGCTCATGGACCCCTTGCATCTGTCACAGCCAGCTGTCACACCACCCAACCTCTGCCTTCACCGCCACATCACCTCCTCCCACTCTCTCTTTCCTACTTCCTCCTTCATTTAGAAGCACCCTTGCGAGCTAGCTGTGGTGGTGACTACCTGTAGCCCCAGGTGCTTGGTGGGAGAATCACTTGACCAGGAGTTCAGGACTAGCCTGGGTGACATGACAAGGTCCTGTCTCAAAGAAAAGAAGCACCCTTGTGATTACACTGGACCTAACTGGCCAGGACAATCTCTCCATCTCCAGGTCCATTACTTAATCACATTCTTCAAAGTCCTTTTTGCCACATAAGGCAACATATTCACAGGTTCTGGGAATTAGGATGTGGACATATTCTGACTACTACAGAAATCCAACTGGGGCCTGTGAGAAAACTGAGCTCCGTGGACTGATGGACCTGATGGAGATGACCACACTTGGCACTGCATGTACTAACTCGGTGGAACTTTAGGAATGAGAGTGTCTCATGTAAGTGAGGGAATTTTTGAAAGTATATGGGAAGAAGGGGATAAGCAGATGTTGGGCAACAAAGGAGTGGACCGTAATGAGCATTTGTGGTCAGCCTAGCCCAGTTTCATCATTCCTTCTAGTAACAGTCACTGATTCTAGTCTAAGAGAGGCTCCCTGCTTCCTCCTCCATCTGTGTTGGAGACTGCAACACAGAACCACTGAACCAAAGGCAATCAGTGTATTGTCCTTGTGAACAAGCTATGGGCAGCAAGGAAACCATGTTGGGAAAATAGCAAGCTATTTTATGGCCAAAAAAAACCCCACTTGGTATAACAGCTCCCTGGCAAAACATTTGGTAAAGTTGCTGGCTCTTGTAACTGGAAGACCAAAAACATTCCTCACATTGTAGCATGAGGGAGTTTCAAGGAAGAGTGGTAAAATGACTGATTAGGGACATTTGATAGAATAACTCAAGAAACAGTTAAGCTCTTAAGAGAATTGGCCAGTTTGTGATAAAGACCAAGATGGCAGGAGCAGCGTTGGAGGCTGGGAGAATGCAGAGGGTTTCTCCTGGAGCAGGAACTTGGACTTCTCTGCCCTTGTCCTCCACTGGAACTCCTTCTCAGCAGGAACCCTCCCATCACACCCAAACTTGAGCCCCCAGCACAACAGCCACACTTGAAGGATGACCTCTAGGAAGGAAGTGTTGCCAAAGGTCATCCTGGGAGATTCAGGCATCAGTAAATAATCCCTCTTGAGGCAGAATGTGAATAAGAAATTGAGTGACCAGGCTGGGCACAGTGGCACATGCCTGTCATCCTAGCAACTTGGGAGGCTAAGGCAGGATGATCACAAGTTCAAGACCAACCTTAGGGAGATGCTTTCTCAATAAAAAATAAAAATAAGTACTAGGATGTGGCTCAGTGGTACAGTGCTATGGGTTCAATCCCCAATGACAGAAAAAAAAAAATTGTAACCAGTACAAAGACAAAATAGGAGCAGAGATTCTAACCGAGGAGATAATGAATGGCAGACCAGGTACCATGCAGATCCAGGACACAGACAGTCAGGAATTATGCCAGTCTCTTGGAGGAGCACAGACTGCTGCATTCTGATATTTGATGTGACTGCCCCCACCATGTTCAAAATCTTCCATGATTGAAAAAAATGAGTGTCTCATCTGGGCCAATCCCTTGGATCCAGAAAATATCCCTTTTTTTTTGTGATGGAAAACAAGACTGACTTCAAAAACAAATAGCTACAAAGAGGGAATAGCCTGGGCTGCGACAAAAACATTCCCTATGTGGAGACCAGGGCCTAGGAGGTCATCAGTGTGGAGCAGGGGTTCCGGTCAATTGCACAGAAAGCACCTAACCAGGAAAGGGAGGTGGAGCAAGTCCCAGGCAGAGAGTCGCCCTTGCTGAACTGGCCGTGATTGCAGAGCAGTCTTTCATGAACCAAGAACAGACCTTCTCCTCTCCTAAATAAAACAGAAATTAATCTCTCACATCCAGCTGTCAAAAGAAACCCAGCCAAACATAGTCACGTCCTCCCACAAATAAGCATGTATACACATACAAACTTGATGCAAAGATGAATTCTAGCCCATGCCTGTGCAGGGTGTGGGGTCCATCACCTAAAATGAGCCCGTGACCACAGAATGGCAGCAGAACAGGTTGCCTTAGAAACCATTCTAATGTGGGGTCAGCATTGATGTTGCCTTATTAAGACTCAATATAGCCGGATGTGGTGGCACACTGAAATCCCAGTGGCTCAGGAGGCTGAGGCAGGAGGATTGTGAGTTCAAAGCCAGCCTCAGCAAAAATGAGGCATTAAGCAACTCAGTGAGACCTATCTTTAAATAAAAGTACAAAATAGGGCTGGGGATGTAGCTCATTGGTCAAGTGCCCCTGAGTTTAATCCCCAGGATCCCCACCTCAAAAAAACAAAACAAAACTCAATGTGTTAGTTCATTTTCAGTTACTACAATGAAATATTTGACACAGGTTAACTTTATAAAGAAAATAAGTTTATTTAGCTCACAGTTCTGGAGGTTCAAAATCCAAGATCAAGCAGCCCCATTGTTTAGCTTCTCCTGAGGACCTAATGATGGGAGTGTATGTAGGAACAAGATATCAAGTCTTGGGGATATAGCTCAGTGGTAGAGTGCATTGCCTAGAAAGTGTAAGGCCCTGGGTTTAATCCCAAGTACCACAAACAAACAAGCAAAAAACCAAGAGGCCAGAGAGAGTTGGTATCCCACAATCCCTTTCAAGGGCATGTCCCCCAGTTGACCTATACACCTCCTACTAGATACCATTGCTTAAAGATCCCACCTTCCAACATTGTCACATTGAGGACCAAGATATCATATATAATCTCTTGGAGGACACACTTAAACCATATCCAAACCATATCACTCAAACCTGTATCTGTTAGCTTTTGCTTCATAACTACCCCAAAATTAATGGTTTAAAGCAAACATTTTTCTTATGATTCTGTGGGTTGAGTGGGTAGCTCTTCTGGCCTGTACTAGCTTAACTGGGGTTAAGTCTGAATAATCTGATGATTGGCAGGCTGAGCACATGACAGAGAATCAGAGGCTGCTTTAAGCACTGACTCTTCACTGAGCCTGCAGAAGCCAAATGGGTGACAGAAAGCAGGATAAAAAGCTTGGCATCTCTGCCTTCATTTTGTATCTGTCTCATTTATTACTATCAAGGAAACTTAGTTCAGATTCTTGCTCAACTCTGCATGTACACATGTTAATTACTCCTTGAGTGTTTATCTAAATACTGGTGCTGTTACTCCAACCTAACCTTGAACTTCCTTGAACTTCAGTCCTAGCTGAACTTCGACCCCTCCCTAACCTTGTCTGTCTTTCAGGACAAGGTCCCTGGAGGCCAGAACTTCCTCCTTAGGTGAGCTAGCCCAAAAAGATTCTGAGATGGCTGCCAGAATGACTGTCAGATCACCTCTGTCTTCATGATAATCCCCTCTGGGTGCTTAATAAGACACTCGCCATCACCCTGCCCGTTGGAAGTGGCCACAAAGATGACTGTAAGTGTAAAGTCAGGCACTGGTGATCAAAAGGAGGCAGGTTAAAAGCAGCTGAACAAGGCTTTATTGAGATTCACTCCCCAGCGAGACCCTCCAGTCCAGCAGAGCGGGTCGGGAGAATCGCACCCCTGCTCAGCCAGATTGGAATATTATTGGGTTTAGGGCAGGAAGGGAGGGCTTGGGACAGGAAAGGGAGGTTTTTAGAGTCCCTTGTCCTCCAGGGGTTGGTTGGGGGATCTCGCTGAGATCCATGTCCTTCCAGGATTGGTCAGGAAACCTCGCTGATTGACAGGTGAATGAGGCACCATCACTGCTGGTCTGTTGGTACCTGATTGGTTGTTCTTGCAGGTTGCCTGGTGCTGTGTTCCCTTAGCACCTCAAACCGACCTAACAGAAAGAGCCATAAAAGGAATAAAGAGAGGTGGCACAAAAATTCTCAGAAAATTTCTGCCCATTCCTGGGAAAAGATATGAATGTTCCTTCCCGTTATCAGCCCATAATTTCCCCACATTTCTTTTACCCCACTCATAATCTCCCAACCCCCAAGGGACAGGAAGTTGATTTGCAAGTTCATCTCCCATTTCTCCTACTCATGGTCAAGAATAAAAGCCACCCCCACCCCCACCCCTGCCTCACTTTTTTGGTATAGGAATGGATTGAACCTAGGGGCTCCACCACTAGCTACATCTGCAGTCTTTTTCTTTCTTTCTTTCTTTCTTTCTTTCTTTTCTTTCTTTCTTTCTCTTTCTTTCTTTCCTTCCTTCTTCTTCTTTTTTTTTCTTTTTTTTTTTGACACACAAGCTCACCAAGTTCCTGAGGCTGGCCTTGAATTTGCAATCCTCCTGCCTTTAGCCTCCCAAGTTTCTGAGATTACCAGTGCTCATCACCTCACCCAGGAAAGTCCCTTTCACTTCTCTAGTGGTGCTCAGTCCTATTTTGAGTTCCACAATTCAGAGAAGGGAAAAGGGACCCAGGCTTTGGGGTCAAAACTTGGTAATGGTAATTTTAGGTTTATTAGCTGTAAATTTACCTAAACCATCTCATCCCCCTTCATGATTGAGGATGCCCTGAAAGGTAACTAAGATATATTCAAGATTTATAGAGACATTCTGCTGCCAACTTCTCCGATATCCTGCCCCAGACTCCCTGGAGTAGCACCTAGAAATCTCCAGTCATGGCCCTAAACCTACAGTCACCTTGGATTCCAGGAACAGCAGGGCCTTGCAGACAGATCTCCCTATAGTGAGGAATCATCTCACTGGAACTGAATTGCTCCCCTTCTAGGATTACAAACTGATAGACAAACATTCTGAGCAGCAGATGGAGATTGATTGCACCCTGAGCAGTGGCAATTTCCTTGATAGCAATAAGATTGTAGGACCCAAACTGAGCTAATGATCAACCAGACCACAGTTTGACCAAGACTGCTTAATTATGCCTATTTCTTGCCCCCATCCCAGTAATTCCCCCATAAACCTAAAGTTCACATCAGTAAAGTTCCTTTCCTGATTCTTCTCACCCACCTCCCCAACCATTTTTCATATTTTATTTAGAGACAGGGTCTTACTTTTCCCATTTGGCTTTTTTTTTTTTTTGGTACCAGGGATTGAACTCAGGAGCACTCATCCCCAGCCCTCTTTTGTATTTTATTAGAGACAGAGTCTCACTGAGTTGCTTATCGCCTCGCTTTTTGTTGAGGCTGACTTTGAACTTGTGATCTCCCTTCCTCAGGCTCCTGAGAGCCTGGGATTACAGGCATGCACCATGGTGCCTGCCTTCCCATTTGGCTTTTAGGGTGAGTGGCTGAGTGGCTGGACCTCATTTTTTTTTTTAAGAGAGAAAGAGAGAATTTTAATATTTACTTTTTAGTTTTTGGCGGACACAACATCTTTGTTTGTATGTGGTGCTGAGGATCGAACCCGGGCCGCACGCATGCCAGGAGAGCGCGCTACCACTTGAGCCCATCCCCAGCCCTGGACCTCATTTGTTGAGATTCTCAGAGTAGGGTCTCTGGCCTTGGACTCCAGTAACAAGTGGTATAAGAAAACTGCAGCTGGGCCGGGTGCGGTGACGCTCACCTGTAATCCCAGCAGCTCAGGGGGCTGAGGAAGGAGAATCGCAAGTTCAAAGCCAGCCTCAGCAACAGGGAAACACTAAACAATTCAGTGAAACCCTGTCTTTTAATAAAATACAAAATAGGGCCGAAGATGTGGCTCAGTGACCCTGAGTTCAATCCCTGGTACCAAAAAAAGAAAGAAAAGAAAATTACAACTGGGACTGCTGATTTCTGCTTCGTGGGGTCTCTCCTCTTCTAGCAGCATCCTCACAAGTGGCATAGGATCAACAAGAGAGAGAGGACAAGCCCTTCCCGCAACCTCCTCCTCAGTGCTGGGATTCTAACTCAGGGTCTTGCACATTCTAGGCAAGCACTCTACCATTAAGTTACACATCCAGCCCCTGCCAAACCCTTTTCCAGTCTCTGCATCAATCACTTAGCTCCTGTGGACTAATCTGGCTAAACCCAGTTTAAAAAGGTGAGACATGGAATTCTTCTCTTATTGTAAGAGTTGTTAGAATCACAATGCAAAGGAGTGTACCTACATCTACAGGGTTGTGGTGGCTTCAGCAGTCAGCCAACACGCTTTAGAACAAAGATGAAAGAAATGGGAGGTGTGGGTAACACACACCTTTTAAGAAGCCTTTGAAAGGATTATGGGGGGTGGTGCCAATGGATCTATTCAACTGGACAAAAGCATTCCTGGAATGAACAACTCTGTTCTCACATGACACTGATAGGCCTGTTGTTAGGTACCTTATCTAATAGTAAGTTTAGAGAGAAAAGCACACACACAAAAAAGTCATGGGTATGGCATTTGGTCCAGGAAGTTGTCTGAAATCAAATACATAGAAAATACTAAGTTTTGAGAGACTTATTTTGGCAAAGAGTCCCCTCCCTTATGGGCTAAAAGAGACTAATGAGGTCGAATAATCTCTATTTCCCAACTTGCTAAAGATAGGAAGGAGGCTAAGGAAGCTTCTTAGCCAACACAGGGGTATATTCCTCTATGTTCCCTTCCAAAGTGACCAAGGTACAGGATGTAAAAGAAAAGACCTCGTGGACACTGAAGTGGATCTGACAGGAAGAACACTTACATAGTAGACAACCCATCAAGAACTTCATACTGTTAAATGCAAATGGTTAATTCCCTGGGTTTATGATGTTTGTCTTTTTTTTTTTTTTTAACAGGAAGCCACCTTTGGGAAATTGTCCTTGGAAGAGTCCCCTCCCTTATACCCCATTCCAAGTTCTAAAGCGAAGTCCCACCTATGGAGTTCTTTAGGTTTATAGAACCCAGAACGTTTTTCGTTTTTGTTTTTGTTTTTGTACCAGGGATTGAACCCAGGGACACACAACTACTGAGCCACATCCCCAGCCCTTTTTTATATTTTATTTAGAGACAGAATATTACTGAGTTGCTTAGGGCCTTGTTAAATTGCTGAGGCTGGCTTTGAATTCGAGATCCTCCTGCCTCAACCTTCAGAGCAGCTGGGATTATAGGCCTGAGCAGCCACGCCTATAGCTGGGCTGAAGATAGAGCTTGGTGCTAGAGCATTTGCTCTGCATGAGGTCCAGCTCTCAGCTTTTACTAATCAGGACTTTCATCAAGGTGTCCAGAGTTTTTATTAGGTTTTTATGACGCTGGGCACTCAGAACATTTTTAATGCCCTCCTTAATCATTGGTCGTAATACAAAGCATGTCAATTGCTGTGCAAAAAAGTAACATGTCTATTTTAAGAAAATACAGTGGGGAAGGAAAGGGGAAGTACTGAGGATTGAATTAGAGTAAATTATATTCTATGCTTGTATGATTATGCCAAAATGAACACCAGTATTATGTATAACTATAATGCACTAATAAAAAATTTAGGAGGAAAAATACAGGAACTTGCTGCAGAAGGTTGCTGTCTATTGTGATGTTCCAGCCAGAGAAGAGAAAGAAGATATACCCCTGGGTAATGAAAATATCACTCAACACATAGTCTCCATGATCTGCCCCTTCTTTCCTTTCCTTTGCACCCTGAGCCCCCCAAGAGGGAGCTTCAAATATCACCTCTATTTTCCATGATGCCAGCCCTTAAATAAACCTGATTCCTTCCTACCAAGTCTTTTCTTTCAAATATGGCTTCTTTTTCTCTTGGTACTGGGGGGCACTCAACCGCTGAGCCGCATCCCCAGCCCTATTTTGGATTTTATTCAGAGACAGGTCTCACTGCATTTGTTTAGCACCTCACTGTTGCTGAGGCTGGTTTTGAACTTGTGATCCTCCTGTCTCAGCCTCCCAAGCTGCTGGGATTACAGGCGTGTGTCAGAGCAGTCATCAAGAAATATAAAAACCGAGTGTGTATGTACAGAATGCCGCAGTCCGGCTGCAGCAAAATAACCGGGGGGTGACGAATAACTTGTGTACGTTGATACAGCAGGAACGAAAAGTATTCAGTAATAGCCTTTTGCTGCAACTTTTTTCCTGATAATCCTTCTTCTTCTTAACTTTCTTTTTCTTTCTGACTAGAGTTCCTGGGCTTCCATCAACACATGCCCTAATTGCTCTTGGTTCCACTGGGGTGCCTCTTTCCCTTATCAATTTACTTAACACCCCTTCCATATTTTCATCACAAAGACAATACAATACACTGAGACAAAACAAGACACAAACATACTGTATCAATCTTCTCCATCTTCTTAAAATGGTCATTTTTCCTCTCGCCCTATCTGTCTAGGGACGAGCAGATTGCTCCCATCCTATCTATGGAAGGGCAGCTTTTTTTCGTCACTTACCCCCGAGTGTCCCGGGGCTCCCCGTAAGGGGCCACCATCTGCCGCAGTCCGGCTGCAGCAAAATAACAGGGGGATGAGGGGGGTGGGGGGGTGGGGGGGGGTGGGGGGTGTGACGAGCAACTTGTGTACGTTGATACAGCAGGAGAGGGAGCCGTTTATTGCAGGACAGGAGCAGTATTTATACATTCCACACAGCTTATCTAATTAGCATAAACTAGATACAGCAGTCAACCAATCAGGAATCTCCATACTTAATGGCTCGCTTTTGTTACTTCACAAACCACTCCCTCTGGCATTTTGCCAGGCACCATCCAGACTTGTTTATGAACTCTAACATTCCCCTGGCAAAATGCCAGGTGTTATTTTGACTTGTTTACAGACTCTAACACAGAAGATCCACTTCAGAGAACAAAGCAAGACCTGGATAGAATCACCTGTATTTATTTAGAAAAGCAGAGACAGTCAATAGATGTCAATTTCTATGATGGTAGATACTTTTGGGATTCTCAGGCTCTTATTTTCTTTATAAATTTATTTTTAGTTATCAATGAACCTTTATTTTATTTATTTATTTATATGCGGTGCTGAGAATCAAACCCAGTGCCTCACACATGCCAGGCAAGTGCGCTACTGCTGAGCCCCAGCCCCAGCACCCCCAGGCTCTTTTTAATAGAGGAAACTCGGTGAGAGGTGGGCATGAGAAGGCATGTAGAGATGACAACCTGGTGATCACAAGATGGTTTATGGCAATTCTCAAGATCCTTAGGCTGACATGGTCCCCATGATCTGATCAATAAATAATGTTGCAAAATATCCTATGCTAAAGATTTCTTAGAAGATCACATCTCTCTTTGCTTAATCTATTTATTATGTAGGCTAATTAACAGTGAACAAGGTAATTTTCATAACTGAGTGAATTTATAGCAACTTGAATATTGTGATGGAAGATGTGTTGATTTCCCAGAAATTTGGGAGTGAAGACCTGAGAGGGAGAATTGGCTTAGGGAGTGATGGGTCTGGAAGAAATACTGGTTTTCAGAGTGAAGATATGAGGAACTTTAGTTCAAGGCTTTCAGATTAAAGTTATATCTTTCTTCTTTTAGTTTTTAATTTTTTTTGTGTGTGTGTGGTGCTGGGGATTGAACCCAGGGCCTTGTGCATGCGGGGCAAGCACTCTACCAACTGAGCTATATCCCCAGCCCCCATCTGTCTTCTTTCTACCTATATTTTTAATTTTCTATATCCTACATCAGATCATCTGAGCTTCTGACCAACACAGAAACAAATTCTGGCATTCCTGTGCCCTCTCAGGCTCAATAATTTGCTACCATGTCTCACATGGATAGAACTCAGGATACTCTATTATTAAAACACTTAGGATTGCCGGGTGCAATGATACCTGCAATCCCAGCAGCTCAGGAGGCTGAGGCAGGAGGATCACAAGTTCAAAGCCAGCCTCAGCAATTTAGCCAGACCCTAAGAACTCAGCGATACCCTGTCTCAAAATAAAAAGTAAAATACGTCTCAGTGGTTAAACACCCCTGGGTTCAATGCCCAAAATTTAAAAAAAAAAAAAAATCCTAGTTTTATTATAAAAGATACAAATCAGGATGAAGCAAATGAAGTGATATATACGGTAAGACCTTGTCTTAAATGCAAAGCTTCTGGATCCTCTCCCCATGGAATCAGGACACATCACCCTTTCAGCACCTTGAAAGTGTGCACCAGCTGAGCTGAAGATAGAGCTTGGTGCTAGAGCATTTGCTCCGTATACAGAGGTCCAGCTCTCAGCTTCCACTAACCAGGATGTTCATCAAAGTGTCCAGAGTTTTTATTAGGTTTTTATGACATGGGCAAGGTTAATTGAATCATTAATTATATGATCAAAATAAATCTCTGCCCAACTTCTCCCTGGAGGTCAGCCCTTGCCTCAAAATCCAGCTCTACTCACAAGGTTGTCCCATTCACCACCCCACCCCCAGCATGGTCAGCATAAACTCAGGTGTGGTCCCAATACTCATAATAAGTACATCCCTTATAAAATTCTAAGGATTTATATGTTGCCTCCACAAACCAAGGACGGAGTGGCCAATTCTTTCATTATACCAGGCTTGCCTGCTTAATACAATTGACTACTTGACATACCTTTTTGTGTGAGGATTGAGACAGAGGAAATTTCACATGTCAGTTGAAACTGATTTGCTTGGGGATTATGGCCATTGATTTCTTAGAAGTTCAGATGAACAGCTCAGTTTAATCATAACCCTGCACTAACCTGGGTTTGTAATCACATTGCCAGGTCCACATTATCCTATCCTCTGAACCTTCAATTGCTTTATTTTTTTCCCTTTTAGCCTAAAGATATTTACCTTGGCCTCTATCCTGTCTTCTATTCCAGATAATTTTTTGCCTGGTTATTGAATCTTTTCCTGGATTTCATTTTCCCTGACAGCCTGGTGGTGCCAATCAACAGCCCACCCAATCTGACCCTAGGTGACTCTCTCAGCATCTGGGCATTAATGTGTTCCATTAGAAATTCAAACCAGGGGCTGGGGTTGTAGCTCAGTGGTAGAGCATTTGCTAAGCATGCTTGAGGCACTGGGTTTGATCCTGAGGGTTGCATAAAAAGAAAATAATTAAATAAAGGTATTGTGTCCATCTACAACTAAAATAAAACAAAACAAAAAAGAAATCCAAGCCAGGATTACAGTTTCCCTAAGGGAAGGGAGCACTTCCTCCACTGTGGCCCATGGATATCATCAGACAACGGAACCTCTTCTAGGGAAGGCTGCTCTTCTATTTTGTACATGTACAGACCTGTTGACTGCAATAAGCCCTGAGCAGTTGTTATGTTCTTCTCTCTGATCATGTCATCAGCAAAGAAGATGTGGCCAGGCTGGCTCAGAACAGGGGTCAGTCATTCAGGCAGATGAGCAATTTCCACTCCTTCTCATATAACACAGCTGGTGTACTGGGAGCTGATCTCCCTGGACCCATTGGGTTTTTGCTCTAGTTTTCCTCCTTTCCCACTCGCTGCAAGAGTGGACCTTAGTACGTCTCTGAGTAACTAACTGCCCTTGATGACTAGGAAATATCTCATTTGTGGTCATGGCTACAGGCTACTGCTTTCCCATGAGAGTGAATGACCACCATAGGATGCTTTTTTTTATAGTGGTCATTTTCCTTTGTCTCTAATTCTATCCACTAACACAAACCATTAGGGGAAAAATGTATATACATATATATATTTTAGAAATGGTGTTCAAACCCAGTGCCTCCAGCATACTAGGCAAGTGCTCTACCACTAACCTATAAGCTACATACACCCCTTTTATACCAAGAGGAATAGGCCAGCCGGCCCTATGGTGCAGGCCTGTAATCCCAGTGACTTGGGAGGGTGAGTCATGAGAATCATGAATTCAAACTCAGCCTCAGCAACTTAGCAAGGCGCTAAGAAACTCTATAACATCCTGCCTCTATTAAAATATAAAAAAGGGCTGGGGGGGCTGGGGATGTGGCTCAAGCCGTAGCGTGCTTGCCTGGCATGCGTGCGGCCCGGGTTCGATCCTCAGCACCACATACAAACAAAGATGTTGTGTCCGCCAAAAACTGAAAAATAAATATTAAAAAATTCTCTCTCTCTCTTTCTTAAAAAAAAAAAAAAATTTAAAAAAAAAAAAAAGGGCTGGGGATGTAGCTCAGTGGCTAAGTGCCCCTGAGTTTAATCCCTGGTGCAAAAAAAAAAAAAAAAAGAGGGGCTGGGGATGTGGCTCAAGCGGTAACGCGCTCGCCTGGCATGCGCGGGGTGCTGGATTCAATCCTCAGCACCACATAAAATAAAATAAAGATGTTGGGTCCACCAAAAACTGAAAAATAAATATTAAAAGAAAAAGAGGAATAGGTCAACTTTGGCCAACTTTTTTATTTTTTTAATATTTATTTTTTAGTTTTAGTTGGACACAATACCTTTATTTTATTTATTTATTTTTTTATGTGATGCTGAGGATTGAACCAAGGGCTTCGAAAGTGCTAGGCAAGTGCTCTACCACTGAGCCACAACCTTAGCCCTCAAGGAAAATCTTTTACAAAGAAATAAACTCTGTGTTCCTGATATAAAAGTTGCCAAAGTTGGGAAGATATATATATATATATATATATAAAATAGTTGGACACAATATACCTTTATTTTTAGAAGGTCAGATAAACAGCTCAGTTTCATCCGAACCCATATATATATTATCTGAATATATATATATATTTATTTATTTATATTTAAATAAGATAGATAACAAAGATTTTCCTCAACTGCCAGAGAAATTCAGTGTTGAGGATCCACCTACATTGTTTCAAGACACTCTACCTGGCAAGCAGGCTCTGAGTTTTGTTGGAGCTTATATGTGGTCATTGTTCTGGCTGGCAGGCAAAGCCACTTCTTGTCAACCAACAAGACATCATTATAGAGTGAAAATTTTGGACATCTGAGGAATTTTCTGACACATTATGTAGATTCACAATGCAAATGTAACACATTTAATATCAATTGCACATTTTTACATGTTTATACAATGGTTGAGTTGGAGTCCTACTTACAAAGTTACTTATTCCTTCCCCAGGCCCCTTCACTGCAAGGTTTTTCCCTAAATAATTAGGTGCCTTGTTCTGTTTGTTGAGGGGACTGAACCCAGGGCCTCTCACATGCAAGGCACTGTTCTACCACAAAGCTACAATCCCATCCCCAGACCAAAGAGTTTTAACCCAAGTAGGTAGTTCAGGAGTTATTTACCTAGGAGTGAGCAGGAAGCAGGGGGAACAACAAGTAAGCACAGCTCTGTACAAACTTTTTGGTCTTAAGTGGCCATCAACTCAGCCTTAAACTCACTTCTAACCCGTAAGTTTCTGTAACAGTCCATTTTCTGTTGCTATAACAAAATGCCTAAAGCTGAGTACTTAAAAAGAACGGAAGTTTATTCTACTCACGATGGGTAGCCCCATTTCTGGTGAAGGCCCCAGGGCATCACATCACGGTGATGGCATC